GGTTGACAACGCTCCAGCTGCTACAAACTGGTCCTCCAACAACCAATCCTCCTTGCTTTAGGTTCAAAATGCTCCACAGGTGCCGCGTGAACCCTTGCTCTGATAGAATATCCTCAGCTAGCATGCAATATGTATATATTGAAACTTTGGAATTCCTCAACCACAAAACCTTTCAAATTGCACGTATGCACACAGTTATAATGCAGAAACATCCCCTTAAACACGCCGTGTCTCATCACGTGGGTCAAGCTCGATGTCCAAAGCAACCGCGCGTTCTTCATGACCACGGAACGCCTTGGAAATAGCCATCTTGCCTGCGAATATCTCGACGCAGTCATATGGTTTCTTCTCCAGCTTGAACACCTCATCAACATGAAGGTTGAGCGCTTGTCCCGAATATACTGCGGTGTAAACAATCATATACATGCACATGCGCAATCACGGATTGCAACAAACCTGAAAAATCAAGGCACATTCTCCAGCATGACCATGCATTGGAACAAACGAACAGGCAAATATCCTGGAACGCGGTTAGCAACCCCACGCGGAAGACGGCTTCTGCGACGATCTTCTTCCTCTTCCAGAGTCCACGTTCTGCACAGACATGAGATTGCATATTCATGTGTGTGCTTACACAAACGTAAACCACAAACTACCGGACTTGCATTCAGAAATTCGAGACTTGCCTCTTGGGCATTGTCCACTGCGGATCGTTGAGGAAAAAAAGAGAACCCTAATCCTCTCCTTTGGGCCACACATGCAGTGCATTGCATGAGCATTCTGCACGCCGGTCTCAATTAGACACATCTTCAGTTGGCATGACCACAGCACAGCTTTAAAAACTTGCATGCCACCATGAATAGGCTTGCGTTCTCAGAATATGCATATATTTTTTTTCATTCTTTTGTCTCTCTGACCCCCAGTTGTACACGCATAGCTTCATACGCGCATGTCCGCAAACTGATTGGTTGATCCATGCAACCAAATAAGCCCACTATGCCACTCCCACTGGCAAGAATTGCCCGCACAACACAAAAACATATCATATAACCTGCGTTTCAAAAACGTACGTTGGCGCAGATGTAAGATAAACTTGACATACCTTCATCATGAGCGTGGGTGGCAAAACTGCAAACTAATCAATCCATCAGCTCTCAGTTGGAGCACCTGCCGCAGGAATCGGACCCTCAGTGGCCTCCCTCCAATTGCTGTGCCTTGTTCCGCTTGACTTCACGGAAAGTGCCGCAAAGATCTGTCACCACGCCATACTTCCGGAAAATGTCTGCAGCTCGCTTGCCCTTGGCTCGAGCGTCCTCGACGGCATCCCCAGCTGCTTTGGCTTTCCGGTAGGCACTTGAGTACACACCATTTGCAGTCACATGAGGTGGCGGGACTTTGCCACCATCAGGCTTCGGAACTTCATTCTCTCCACCACCAGCCTCCTTCGCTTCACCTTTCATCTTTTGAGTCTTGCCCTTGCCTCGCCTTGTCTTTGTTTTGCCATGTGCCGAGCGACTGGCTTCCATGGTGCCATCCTCTAGCTCAATCACCATCGGTGTTGAACCGCTGGACTGGGCCACCTTCTTCTTTCCATTCCCCTTCTTCTTTCCTTTTGCTGCTTTGAGAACTCTACGTTTGTTCTTTCTGTTCAGCTTCTTTGCCGGCACAGCACGAGGAAAAGCTGGAACTTCCTCTTCGACTTCGACAACCGCACTCTGAGCTGGCTTTTTCTTGCGGCTTTTGGACTGTGACTTCATCCCATCTTCATTGCCACAAGCATCAGGAGCAGCCAGAGACTTTTCTTTTCTTTTGCGCGATGTCTTTGTCTCAGTCTTGCCTGCTGCAGCCTTGGCCTTGGGTTTGCGCCCACGAGGCTTTCCCTGGGCTGCAAACACTGGTGCCATAGAATTCTTGAACTTCTCGATGTAGTTGTCCAGGATGTGGTGGCTCACTGGCTCCAAAGGGTACTTGGGAACCTGAAGGCAAGAATGTAAGATCAAAGATGAGCACGCCACGCATCCATGAATACACACATGCAGCTAAAATACATGCACGCGTGAATGCCATGCAAAATGAGATGAAATTAGTCATGCACAGCATACTGCCAGGAGACCTTCTCGTTCTTCTTTGCGTCGCCCTCATCCTTTTCATTCTTTGTCTCATGAGCTGCGATGCCACCACAACTTGGGACATTCTTGATTTCCTTCTCGGGACTCTCAGGGACTTCCTCTTCTCCCATGCCACCTTTTGCTTCACTTTTGACGTTCATGTCAACCTCGGAATCCATGCCACCATTTGCTTCACTTTTGCCGTTCATGTCCA